CTACGCAACAACTAAAATCCTAGCAGGTAACATATTTAGGGTAATACATTGTAGATAGGTAACAATCAGATATGCCAAAGGGAAGTAGAAAATATTTAATTAGCCTTGATTATGTTTAATACAATATAGTCAAAAAACCTGTGTTAATATAATACCCAAAGCGAAAGGATAAGCAAAATTACATTTTATTATATTCAAATAATAAAATAACAGATTGTCATAATCATGTTCTACGATCATATAGAAAAGGCGGATGTGAAATTGGCAATAGCGTTATTCAATATAAAATAGTATAATATAAAAAAAAGAGTATAATAACTTAATATAATACAAACGAGTAGCCAATAAATTAATTATCAGTCCATTATAATAATACGCAGAATAGATTAGAATTTCGCAAGTACGTGGGCCGGGTTGATAGTCACAAAGACCACATCCGTTAGAACCAAGATACAAGTTATGGACGAAATTTTAACGATAATAATTTTCAACGAAATAATACTAATCAGATTAGAACCGGATGTTACACATGCGGGAAATCTAATCATTTTGCAAGGGATTGCTGGCAGACAGTAGGAAGGCCAAGTACACAGCAAAATACGTATAATAGTAATAATCGCGGCAACGGCGCGCGTAATATTGGTAATAGTAATAATCGTACAGGCAATGATAGGGCACAAAATGTACATTGCAGTTTTTGTAATAAGGTAGGACATGAAATTGCGAACTGTTTTACGAAACAGAAAAATGAGAAAAATAATTCAAAAAACTTCAGGGGACAACCTCAGGTGGGCGTGAGGTTGGTCCAAGAAATAGAACAAGACCCACAAAACGAATTTTCCACATCACAACTCGATTAGTAGATAATCATATTACGTTAAAATCGCCAAGTTTCAATAAAGATCAAATTAAATTGTTAGTTGACACGGGCGCGGATCTGAACATAATAAAAATTAACGCTTTAAAGGGAGATACTGAAATTAATGAAAAAGAAAAAATTTATTTAAAGGGAATCAATGAAAAAATAGTGTCCACAATAGGAAAGACAGAAATAGATTTAATTATAGATAATATAGCATTTGGAACAGAATTTTATGTAGTTAGTAAAATTTTTCCGATATCCGGCGACGGAATAATAGGCAATAAGTTTTTAATAGATAACCACGCAATAATAAATGTTGCGAATAATACAATTACGATAAATGAAAGCAAAATAGAGAACGATAATAATATTTGTTTTACATTGCAACCACGTTCAGAAACGGTAGTGCAAATCGATATAACAGATAAGGCAATGAATAATAAAAATATATTAATTAATAAACAAGAATTATTACCAAATGTATATTGCGCGAATATTTATAATAAAGTTAAAAACGGAAAAATAACGATAAGCGTGTTAAATATATCTGAATCGACGCAGGATGTAAATGTAGGTCAAGTGCGTAAAATATCATACGAGAACGACATAGTAACACACGGCGATTACACACACATGCATACGCGTGATATAGAACGGAAACAAAAAGTGAGGGCGTTGATACGTACAGATCATCTTCAAGTTCATGAACGTAAATCAATAACAAAAATCTGCGAGGATTATTCCGATATTTTTTATTTAGAGGGTGATAGGCTTACGTGTACGACAACGGCCGAACATGTAATAAAAGTTCCGAAAGATTTGAAACCAATTTATAAAAAACCGTACCGTTTACCATTTTCGCAACAACCAGAAATAGAAAAACAAATAGATCAAATGATGAAAGACGAAATTATTGAAAGATCAATGAGTCCGTTTAATGCACCACTAATTTTAGTTAAAAAGAAAGAGGATGCATCGGGAAAACAAAAATTCAGAATAGTTATAGATTTTAGAGCACTTAATGACGTAACATTAAACGAGTTTCACCCGTTACCGAATATAACGGAAATTTTGGATCAATTAGGTCAATGCCAATTATTTACATTATTAGATTTAAAGGCGGGATATTGGCAAGTGAGTTTAGCAAAAGATTCAAAAGAACTTACAGCGTTTTCCACGGGGCAAGGTCATTACCAATTTAAACGATTAGTTATGGGGCTAAGTTCAGCTCCGGTGACATTTCAGAAAATGATGACAAATGTATTATCAGGTCTAATAGGAATAAAGTGTCTGGTATACTTAGATGATATAATAGTTTACGCGAAAAACTTACAAGATCATAATGAAAAGTTAATTAATGTATTTGAACGGTTACGTAATACGTATACATAATCTAAAAATAGAACCGGATAAATGTAATTTTTTACAACGGGAATGTTTATTTTTGGGGCATATAATTTCTGACGAAGGAATAAAACCCGACAAAAAGAAAGTTGAGGCTGTAATGAATTTTCCAGTACCTAAAACTGTTAAGCAAATAAAAAGTTTTTTAGGACTCAGTGGGTATTATAGGAAATTTATAGAAAATTATAGTGCTATTGCTAATCCAATAGTAAAATTATTAAGAAAGGACGTAAAATTCAATTGGGATGAAAGTTGTCAAGCAGCTTTTGATAAATTAAAAGAAATACTTTGTTCAGAACCAATTTTGCAATATTTCGTCCGGAATTCCGTGGATACAGACAAAATTTGTTACGAACGCCTTTGCTACCACATTTGCCGTGTGACAAATCAAAGCTACCCCTAGACTAAACTTCGTTAAGTCACATTGCATTGTAAGTATATAGTTGTTTCCTAGACTTGTTGTAACTAACGGTCCTACAATGTCCAAAAATATTTTTTCAAATGGTCTTGTACTTGTCGTTGTTATAACCATAGGATACTGAATATGCTTATTAGTATTTTTATTAATTTGACAAGCTGTACAATTCTGTATATATTCCCTTACTTCCTGTTTCATATTTGGCCAGTTAAATTGTTTTTTTATCTTTTTGACTGTCCTATTCAAACCTCCATGTCCGTCTAATCTGGACGTGTGCATTTGCTTAAAAATTACTAGTTTTTCTTCTTTACTAAATTCCAATTTGGTACAGATTATGATTTCTATACCCGTATTACGAAAAACGTATCTTATCATTGACCTAACTCTTGCCCAATCTAGTCCGTCTTGTTGTCCTAATTGGTTCATTGCTAACTTTATTAATTTATGTTTTTCACAAAAATGCTTAAGATTTAGTAATGCTATATGTACATTTTCGTACGTTGCTAATTGTTTCTGTTTTGTCAATGATATAATATCATTGTATACGAAAAACGATTCTGAGCGAAGACGGTCGGTCCATCTATGATATTGCTAAGTAAATTTGATGATATTATTGAGAATAAAGTAATTTATTTACCTATCTACGTGGAACCTTGTTTTAAATTTTCAATCCATTGCTATAAAAGTTGAACATATTATAAAATTATAACTACAAAATAATTTTAAAATTTAAAATTTGATACATTTTGTCACAATTCGAAATTAAATGCTTCTAAAAAAAATAGTGACTATTATCTTTAAATATTTTTCAACTAGTAACATTATATCAGGAGCCGTATATACAATTTTCACGCATTTTGACCCAACAAATACAATGTTATTGATAATCATAGAAAAAAAAAATAAAAAAATTTAGAAATTTAAATTATTATTCGTAAGCAGCTCAAAACGAGTCAAAATATTTTGAAAATATTATGAAGAATATTAATTGATATAATAAACATAATAATGGTGTAAATTTCAATTATCTAAATCTTAAAGTCATTTGTTTTTGAATTACAAAAAAATAAGGAAATCGCTACTTGAGAAATCGGGTGAATATCCAATGTTATAAAAATGTCATCTTCAAACGCTCATAAAAATTTAATTTGATATTCTGGTAGACATTTTTTTTTTCGATAAAGTTATTAAAATTTATGAGGAATAACTATAAATAACTATAAATAATGAACTATAAAAGCTTATGAAAAAAATTGTGACTGTGCCCTCAATATTTTTCAATTGCCATTGTAACAATATATTAGGAGCTATATCCTTGTACTTATTACATTTTCAAGCTATTTGACCCAACGAATTTTATCGAAATTTACCTATAGAAAAAACACTAAAAAAACAAGATTTTCCATAATTTTTTCTTTGAATATCTGTAAAAATACTCTACTGGACTAGAACCAAACATTTTTATGAACGTTTGAAATTTAAACTTTTACGAAATCATGTAAAACAACGATTTGACGAATTGATATTTCTTTTTATTTAAAAAGTATAAGACGTAGAAATTTGAAACTTCCACCACTTGTTTAACGTGACATTTTCTTCACATGATTTTTTTTTTTCATAATAATTCGTTGATTTTTCAGCTATTTATAGGCATTTTAAATATTCGATTTTTTTTATAAATGTCGTTTAAAAAATACTTGAAAATTTAATAGAAGATTTTACATAAGTTAATCTATGAGTTATTAAAAAATTATCAAAATACATTGGCACAATTTTTTTTTTATAAGTGTTTGAATTTCAAATTTCGACAAAATGTATATTTCAATTTAAATATATGTAATATAATAATGTATCCTAGACTGACACATCATCTCCGTTCAGAATCGTTTTTCGTATACAATGATACCTTTGAATTGCATTCAAATTTAACACATCCATTGTAGTGAGCTACTCTACGACCCCCTAATGTACAGCTGAGCGACATCCACTCACCCGCTTTTTTTATATTGAAATTGCTTAAAAAAGTTTATGAAAAAATAAGTTAATTTTCTGTAAAAAACGATAGAATCGATATTAGCTAAAACTGATATCTACAATATTCATAAATAGATATAATTCTGAAAAGTAGTATATTATAATTTAATTTTACTTTAATATAAATAAATTTTAAATATTGTCAAAAAATACTGTTTTCAGGTATTTGTCGACTGGGACTTGTTTCAAAGCTCTACAATTTGATTTGATGGTAAAAGTACCATTGCAGAAATTGTTAGGGACACATGTGCTATTATTTGGAAAATTCTACAGCCTACAGAAATGCCAAAACCTACACTTGAACAATGGCTTGGAATAGCTGCAGGGGCGTCATTTGGGGGATTCAGACTATACTTTGGCAGCCCTATTTTTTTTAAATGTTTGGTTGGCCCGTATAAAATGTTATAATTGCGCCGTCGCGAGTCGCGTCGTCGATAAAATGTAAGATGCAAACACGCTGTAATGGTGCGAGTTTTTCGTAAGAACCTATTGTCCTATTGAAATTGCCAAGTTGATAATACTTTAAATTATATATATTTCTTTTATTTATTTAATAATTAGGTAGTTCACAAATTTTTAAATATTTATATATTTTGTAATAACTAGTCTATAAGCTTTGAATGTATGGCTTTAATTTTACGCTTGTTAACAATTTCAGATTTGTACAACAATTAGAAACTCGCTTTTCTGAGAAAAACCAAGAATTATTTAAGATATTTCAGATTTTCGACTATACAAGCTTATATTATTTCAATCCAAAGTGTCCATCTTTAGAGTTCTTCATAGATCATTATAAATATTTTGAAATTAATAAAATAAAAGTCAAATCAGAATTTTCATCTGCTAAAGCTTTGCTTGAACATAAACATATTTTAAGACCGGACTTTGAAATGATTGTAGATGTTCTCATTGAACTTCCTAGTTCATTTTCAGAAACTTTAAAACTAATGCATATCATTAAAACTCTTCCAATATCTACAGCATCTAATGAACGCTTTTTTTCTTCTATGAAAAATGTAAAATCTTATATACGTACTTCTATGGGTGACGAGCGACTCAGTGATCTCATGATAATAAACGTTGAAAAGGACGAGGCCAATAAAATAGATTTAAATAAAGCTGTGGATGATTTTGGGGAAATGAAGAATAGGAGATATCCACTTTTTTAATAACTTTTAGTACTTTTACTGTTATACCTATTTACTTAGTTAAGGGGATTGGCGGCGATTTATTAAGGGGTTGTGTATAGGCAATTTCATTATTTATTCGCGTTACGCAGTGTGTATGTGTTAGTAGTAAATTATCATTAGTGTGTGTGAATTCGTTCGGGATTGCTCGTACAACGTCGGTATTTGTCGTGGCTATGGTAAACGATCGCTGCACACCGTGTTCTTATCTACACACGCTGTATGGATGTTATTCTTATAATTTATTGTTATATATATATAGTGAATTACTCGTCACATTATTTATATTTGTATACTCACGTAATGTTATTCAACAGTCGCGGGCCGTGGATGTGTACTATTGACAAACGATATGCCTAAAGCAGCGAGAAACCGTAAATACGCCGCGTTACGAAAAATATTTTATTTAGAAAAATACAAGATAAGTACATTGAACTGTTTATTGGAGATTGTCCACAGCATTTTCTTTATGATAGTAATAAAAACATTATAATTAGTTTTTGTATTTCTTTTTATGTTATTGTTTAATACAAATATTATTAAATATATCTTTTTTTATTTATATGAAATTGGTTAAATATGTTTGAAAAAAAAGTATTAATGAGTATTTGAATATTAAAATGTGGGGATATGAGTGAGCGAAGCGATCGGAAATTTGTTTAAGTTCCGCTAAATAAACAGGATATATAAATGGCCTGGTGGAGGGAACAATTGGCCTTATTCAAATGTTTGCATCCCTATTGAAAAGTTGAAATGACGCCCCTGAATAGCTGATAGATTTTATGAAAGTACAAATTTTCCAAATTGCTTGGATGCAATAGATTGCAAACACATACGATGTAGGAATCCCATAACCTCGGGTTCATATTATTTTAACTACAAATTTTTTTTCTATTATATTGATTTCTGTAGTTGATGCTAATCTCAGTTTTATTTTTATTGATGTTGGAGCTTACGGTAGGGAATCAGATTCTACTGTATTTAAACAATGCACATTTGGTAAAAAAAACTGTATGCTCAACAACTAAATATACCAAAACCAACATGCTTACCTAATACAGAGAGTTCTCCATTACCATATGTGTTTTTGGCTGATGAGGCTTTTGGTTTGCATTCAAATTTGTTGAGACCATATCCTGGACGAGGTCTAAACGATAAACGGCGAGTATTTAACTGCAGGCTCTCAAGAGCACGAAGAACGGTCGAGTGTGCATTTGGAGTATTATAAAACAAATTGAAAGTATTACATACTCCTTTATTAGTGGAACCAGATTTTGCCGACGAAATAATAAAAGCTTGTTGCATTTTACCCAATTATTTTCGCCAAAGGGACGGAGCTAGTTATGAAGATATGGAGTCAAATCTGTTGGTCGATGACTTAGAAATTCGAGGAGCTCCAGCAAGAGCACAAGGGATAGAGGTTAAAGACGCACATGCAGATTATTTTAAGGGCCCAGGTTCAATACCATTCCAATATAGACTTATTTAAAAATTGCAATTAAATAATAATATTTGGAATCAAAAATTGTTTATTTTTTTTTTATATAACATGTAAGGTATAGGTTAGCTATATAATTGAAATACTAATACCGGGTTGCATGAAACCGTTCCTTAAATTTATTTAATGAATAGTTTTATTGAATCATTAAATAATTTTATCAAGTTATTTGGGTTGCACAAACAGTTGAATAAAAATGTATTGGTTTCAAACATGATACCAAGGTTTATGTTGAAGTGTGAAGCTTATCACAGAAAATTGATAACAACTAATCAGCTGTTGTTTTAGTTTGAAAATTTAATTGGTAGTTCGGTACAAAATAATTGCATTTATATTGTATAATATTATACTACCTAGTACCTAACTATTTAAAGTGTTTTTATGTTTACCTACGTCCTACGTCCGTAATAAGTAGAGTATAATAATGTCAGAAGTGAATGTAAGTGATTTTAAATTAAAACGGCAACGGGGAAAAAACTTTACAGAATGGGAAAAAGATATGCTAATTGACTTGATATTACCTTTCAAGTCAATAATTGAAAACATGAAAGTAAGTACCTATTAAAATATCTAATTTGTGTTATTTTTCTGTACGTATATATCGATATGTATTTTTAAGTCAAACTTTACTTACATAAATTCGATAAAATTGAAAAATATTGGTACCAATATATTATACCATGTTTATAAGTAAAGTTGATGACGGTTTAAAAATGTAAATTGTCAATTTGTTGATTTGTATACATTATTCAGACAACTGAAATCGATTTTAAGAATATTTTTATTGTATGTACCTATAATACATAATATACAATATACATTATAATACATAATAATTATTGGGACTGAGGACTTTTTACTTTCAAAATATGCATGATATTATATATTTAGCCCAGTCCGCCCCTGATTATTATCATGTTATAGTTCTGCTACCTTATTAAAATGTTATGAAAAAGACTAAAGGTCTGTGGTAGTAATAAGAGTATAGTAGTCCTCAGTCCTAATAATAAAATATATAAAACTAATTTAGGCATATAAATAATAATTATTAAATATCTTTTTATTTTAAGTTTAATTGTTTTTAAAATATTTTATTCAGACTGATGCGGTTTGGAACCAAAAGAAAATGCCTGAGATTACTTGTTTGTACAATATGCAACAAAAATCAGGCATCAGAATTGATGTACAGTTAAAACATTTGTACGATGGACTGAAAAGAGATGCTAGGAAAGAAAAAAGTCACGATAAGGCAAATTTATTATTTTGATGTATTATAATTTAATATTGCTAAAATAACATGTAATTTTTACTTTATTGGTGATTTTGTATTGAAATTAAATGTTGTATAATATTCAAATTTCAAATTTTGTTTTATATAATAATTATAAACTGTATTTACTGTTTATGATTATAATTCAACTTATCTCTTTATTGAGAACTGATTGAAAAAAATATTAATTTTATTTATATTCCATATATTCTATATAGGTACAAATGTATATAACAGGCGGAGGTACACACATTCCAAGTATTTCAAAATCTACTTAAAAAATTGTTGGTTTACTGGGAGAACAATTGGATCCACTGATTAATGTAATAGATTGTGATGGTGACTACAATACAGGTAGGTAAATATTTTTATTATATTGGTATATCATGGTCCATATGTCAATTGGTATGTTATACAAATATGTTATTAATGTCAATTTATAATACATAAATTAATTTGTAACAAAATTAAATATATAAATATTATCATTTTATTAGGGTATCAAAGTATAGATGTGGAAGATACTGTAGATGATGGAACATCAAACAATTTGTATAATCGTGAATCAGGTATGAATAAATAATAAATGAGCATGGGCGCAACTACTAACTAGTGGGGGGATGCTTGGGAGTGCCTAGCACTCCCAAATTTTCTGTGCCGGTTTCTTACAATATTGGTAATAGTAAAACTTTTGATTTTATAAATAATAATTTATGATAAATTATCAAAATATATTGTTTTTCTAAGTTATTTTAATTTGTTATGGTCAATGGAAACATCAAATACGTTTATTACATTTGGTTTATCATTGTATTAATTGTACTGTGTACACAAATAAGTAGAATCAGTAGGTGTAATTTTTCCTAGATATAAAAATTATTCTGCGTAAATGCGTTGTGTCTGTGTCGAGCGTGGGCCAGAAAGAGAAAACAAATAGTGTGCTTAGTGGCCGCTGACATCTTCTTAAATAAAAACATAACATTTTAGTGTATAATTATTTTGCTTATCTTAAATAAGAAAGGAGGGTTTTCATGTTGTGCTTTAGGTTTTAGCACGTCATTAATTTTGCTCTAGTTGAGCCCATGTGAATGAGGATCTGCAACATCAACATTTGTTATTACTTATTTGCATGTACTTTAGCAACAAACGTATTCCTTACTTTCACAATGGTGACTCTCTGATTCAGTACAGGGTAAAGGAACTATAATATTATTATATGTTTTCTAAAGAAGAATATTAAGTTCATTGACTGAATATTTTTCTTTCTGTATACAACTTATAATAGATCCTTTTGCTCTAAACCGAACTAGAGAGTACCTAGTAATCGCGGAAGTATGGAATACCTTAGTTGCTATATTACGCCCAAATAACAAATGTTGGTGTTGCGGAAAAAAAAGTAACGAGTAATTTATTAATGTAATTATGTAAGTACAAAAAGTAACTTTAATTACATATAAATTACTAACAATAAAATGTAATTGTGCTACAGCTACTTGTAACTTAAGTTACTTCCCAACACTGATGGTTTGTATATAATTTTTTTTATTAATTACTGATGATTATTTAACAATATGATTGACTTGTTGCTTGCTTTTAATGTTTTGATTTTTTTGCTTTAGCATATGTTTTACAAAATTATGAAGTGACAATCCAGATCATTAAATGAACCCGTTCCTTCATCATCCTGTACTCCTAAATCCAATTTGTTTGAAAATTTAATCTCCGTTAAATTAAAAAATATTATTAATGTTAATGAATCTAAACAGATAAGTTCCAAGAAAGTGTACGAAGGTTTATCTATTTTTAATAACAAGCGATTAGCAAAATCAGAAAATATCACAAAATTTGAAGATGAACTACACAGTATTAGGTTAAAAAAAAACAAAAGTTGACCTTGAAGTAAGTGAACTAGAAAAAACACTTATGACACAAAAAATAAAATTTGAAGTTGAAAGATTGGAAAGTGAATCTCGTCAAAACAAATTTAAAGAAGAGATATTATTATTAGAACTCAAGCACAAAAAAAAAATGTTTGGACTTGAATAAATATATATTTGCAGGTATAATCATATAAATAATTAAACTATAGGCAATTTTTAAAACTTACTGTTCATAACTTAAGTATTTCGTATAATATTAAAATTATATAATACAATTAGTTGATTTTTTTACATTAGTAATATTTATTTTCATTTTTATAAGTTTATAACTGTATAACAATATTTATTTTCATTTTCAAAACTGTATAATAATAATTTATTTATTATAATAAATAAAAATCATTCATGTTGGTCACCATATTGTTTAGTATATCATAATTCATAAACGTGTTTAAAATTTAATTTTACAGCACTCACTGCTTGTTTTTTTGTACTCCAACGTGTGTCACAATGAGATTTTAAAGTGATTTTCATAATTTGCATTAAGATTTTCTATCTACTTGTCGAGCCAGAAAAAATAAGTATATATTTTGAATTAAGACAAAAAATGTGATCATCATAGGTGAAACTTCTGCAGCATGAACACCTACTAGGTTTAGGCTATGAGCTGAACATGGTAAAAATGTTGCTAGTTCATTTACACGTAAAATATGTGATTGTACACCATTAATACTTCCAGCCATATTTGCGCCGTTGTCATAGCAGTATAGCACTGTCCTCTATAGTCCATTATTTCTTATAGTGTTTAATATTTCATTAGAAATCCCTGATTTTTCTTTAGTACATATAAAATCAATAAATGATTCTTTAATCATAATGTCTCCATTGGAAATGTACCTGATTATTTGTGATATTTGTTCCTGGTGATATTTATCGGGAGTGCAATCGAAAAGAATTGAGAAGTATTTTGATTTTTTGATTTGTTCAAATATAGTTTGTCTTACTTGTTGACAACAAGACAACATAATTTGAGGGTGCGAGTGTGTGACGTCCCCTTAAGGGCTGCCCGTAACCGATTTTTTCGATCAAAAACTCGCCTAGCACGCCACTGCCACTTAGTGAACTGATTTCGGAAATTTTTTTTTTAAATTGGTTTTAAAACCAGGCACATACTTATATAATCATTTATGACTAATACATGCCTTGGATGGCAGCGAAAAAATTGCAAATTGCCACTGTTATAGACCAGAGTGGGGATATTAAATCTTAATGCATCAACACATGTGTTCAGTTCAACAGTAACTTTACCATAATATATAACGTTACATTTAGAAAAACAAATAAAAATATAGGTAGGTACTATACATTTTGATGTAGGTTACACTATACATACATGAAAGGTACCTGTAGCGTAGTATCTTAAAGTCACCAAAATTTGTATTTCTGGAGAAATGGCGAAGCTCCTATTTGTAGAACGTCGCAAATCGTTTCCAATTAAATGTAATAAAAAATACAAAAGTTTGCTTTGGTAGTCTATTGTAAGAAAATGCATTTATTGCGTATCAAATTAGGAACGATTTATATTTTATTTAACTTATTGGTTATTATAGCTATTAGTTACTTACCTAAACCTACTTTTAAAGTCAAAATCGTCGAAATCCTCCAATGGGTTTGACCTATCCCGAAAGAATCTTGGTCTGGGTAAATAAAATAATACATCCAACACCATTTCATCATCAGAATTAGATGAGTCGGAATCAGTCATTTTATTTATTGAAACCTAACCTAACCTATTTATTGAAACCAAATAAAATAAGCAGAACAGTCGTGATAATTGTGTAGTTGAGTGAATTGCAGCTCGTTCTAGAATGATGATCTCCGTGTAATTATGTGTGATGGCTGGCGGCTAAGCGAGTCGTACGTTGTTTACGTCTCTGGATACAATCTGCTCAGGCTGTCTCGCTGTCCCCTATATATATGGTGGCGGTGTCCTTTGAAAGTGAGCGGCGTGTGTACAGTCGCCCTTGATATGATATGGACCTCACGAATAAGAGTGGTATTTTAGTCGTAAACACTTTGGGTGTGGTCATTGCTTGCCTTTCACATTCTTGGTTGTTTTTATGAGCAAGTACATGCAATTACGTAATCCCATTACAAGGTAAGAAACAATAATAATGTCTTGATAAATATTTATTGTTTATTAAGTTATTATAGTATGTACAACAATCAAATTAATAAAACTTTTCTTTAAATTAGAAATTCAGAACGAAAATATACATTTGCGTAATGAAGAAGACTTTGTTGATGACCCAGTTGAAGACAACGACATTTTAGATGATTTGGATGAAGATCCAACTTTTGATCCACATTGTAATATTGTAGAACCAAGTGATGAAGACAAACAAGTGAGTACATATTCTTCAGAAATAAATCAAAATAATGGTGGCAGGCCAAAAAAAGGCAAAAAAATAACACATATATATCAATCTTGCTCAAACATAAAAGTTTTAAAGAATTCAAACTTAGGCTATTATAATCAAAAAAATATAAAAGTTATCCCCAAAACATTTAAAAATTATGATTGTACATGCCCTATGAAATGTTCACAAAAGGTTTCACTAAACAAAAGGAAAGAAAATTTTGAAAATTTTTGGAAACTAGGCGAATATACTGCTCAAAATGCATACATTGCCTCTTTAGTTCATGAGTTACCAGTAAAAAGAAGATATGGTTCTAGCAATAATTCCAATTTCAGTAAGCAGTTCCCAAGAAAATATAACTTAAATAATACTCAAGTGTGTCGCAAAATGTTTTGTGAAACAACAAATATATCTACATTTAGAGTTAATACTGCCCTGAAAAAAATGCATGGTAGGTCACCCATCTTTGATCAAAGAGGATTAAAAAATGGGGGCCTAAATAAAATTTCTGAAGAAAAACTCAAAACTATAAATCAAATAAACAAGATTCCAAAATACACATCGCATTATTGCAGAAAACAATCAAATTTTCAATATTTACCTCCAGAAATGACTATTGAAAAAAATGTATGCAATTTAAAGAGAAGAAGAAAATGAACCTGTAAGCCTTTCAACTTATAAACGATATTTTTATAATTGTTTTAATTTAAAATTTAAGAAGCTTAAAAAGACACCTGCAATACCTGTGATTTATTAAAAGTTCAAATTAATAATGAACAAAATGTGATGAAAAAGGAAGAGTTAAACATCAAACATACAAAGCACTTGAGTTTAGCAGAAAATGCACAGACCTTATTAAAAATATGAAAATGCAAAAAAAAAATGAACACTTACAATGTTTAACATATGATATGGAAAAAACTTTACCACTGCCTAGATTACCTACAAATATCATATTTTATAAGAGACAGCTTAGGTGGGTTCCCACGACGGGTGGCTCGGCGGTTTTTGTACCGAGCCTACATATGTGCTCGGCATATCACGAGCCTACAATTTCTACAGCATTCCCACGGCGCGTGACTTGGCGAGCCACGAGCTTATCCGAGTTCCCTCCTTTTTTTTTAGGCCCAAAATTAAGCCGCCAAATTTCTCAGTTCAAAATGACTAGTGCTGTAGACGAGACGCAAGTTGCTGCTTTCGCAGCAGCGTATTTTGTCATGTTAAGTGGCGAATATTTAAAGGAAAAATTAAAGAAAAAAGAAAATCCAAGGAAAGAAGATACTGGATGCATGAAATATACAAAAGCCGTACTAGATAAAACTAAAATAATAATAATTAATTTTAAGTTTTTTTTATTCAAATTTTTTTTATATATATTTAAATATGAGTAAATAATCACCTATTTTATTTTATTTTATTTATTTATATTAGTGTTTAATTTTTTAATTTAATATAATATATTATTTATTTATGAAGATAATTTTATAACTTTGGGCCGATAATATCAAAAATGGATACAAATATGAGGAAGTGTATTCCTGTTCAAGAAAGGCCGTTACCTTAAGATTTTTAGCCTCGGGAAACAGCTTCAAGAGCTTATCATATTTATTTAAGTTTTCCGTTCAAACTGTTTCCAGATGTGTGCAAGATGTTTGTAAAGCTTTAAGTCAGGAGTTAAAATCAGAAATAACGGTAAAGTATTTATGTTTAAATTAAAAATAAGTTTTGTATAAGTATAATACCTTTAAAATAAAATATATATAACAAGATCAAATTTAAAACTGAAAACAAAGTGTGACATAATTATATTTAAAATTAATAGGCAGTATAAAAAGTATGAACAATAACATATTAAGTATTTTCATAATATAACACCTTATATATTAAAAAAAAAAATGTTGTACGTTACACGTGTACGCAATTTGTACCTTAAAAAAAAAATATGACAAAATTGAATTTAAAACTGAGAATAAAGTGTGACATAATTATTATATTTAAAATGAATAGGCAGTATAAAATATATAACATATAAAGTATTTTTATAATATAATACCTTATATATTAGGTATAAAAAAAAATGTACAATACACGTGTATGCTTTTGGTACCTTAATCCAAACTTTTTTCTCCTACATTACTATATTGTGATGGTGTTGGCGATGGATTTTGGAATTGCTGAAAATGTGGAGGTGACATGGAGGTTGAGTACTCAGAGGAATTCTGGTTTTGAGATAAATCATAATACGTAGATGGCATAGATGATATGTAGTCGGGCGATGGTTGTGGCTGAAGAGATGCAGATGATGATGATGATGATGCGGCGGTTGAATAATTATCATTGAGTAAATATGGCGAATATGTCGGGAAACTGGTACTTGGATATTGATAAATGATAATACGATGGTGGCTGTACTATTTGGTCAGCAGAATGTTTGAGACGAAACATAATGTTATCAATCTCCATCATTGCAATATCTTGCTTTTCTTTTTTTTGTGACCTTAAAACCCATTAGAGCCCAAATTATTTTTTTTTTTAAATTTTAATTAAATTTTTGTTGACAACTTCTATAAATACACTCATATTAAAATAAAATTTTTTTTTTTTTTTAATTCAGAGTTTTCGAGATATTTGACGTTGCCATATGGCAATACTGGTCATTTGTCCTACTTATTTCGTAACTTTTTTCTATTATTTTTTTTCCGTCCTTAAAATGTAACTTATTTGAAATTGTAAATAAACACCAAACACAATAAAATATAAGCATTATCTGTATATTTTATATTTTTTTTTTTTTATTAGTAAGCAAATAAAGATTGAGTAAATATAAAAAATAAATCATTTCCTTATACGTCGTACAGCTTGTACAAAAAAAACTTAAAATATTTTATAAATATACATCATTGGGTATGAAAAGGTTTAAAACAATTAATGCATAACCCAACAGAACATTTTGAACACATTGTTCGTACAACTGAGTTGCAATTTTTTCCGGCGCATCATCTTTTTTTTTTTCTTCTGTATTTTGTACAAAGTGATTAGTTTTATCGAACCGTAATGTATCTGATATACGAGAGTCTTACGAACACAATGATTTTGATATGCGTCCTGATCCTGTGGGAGTATTTTTGTATTTTTCTAAATAAACATTTACTACTTCTCTTCTAAATTCAAGTTGAGATATTTTTGGACTCCCTGTTTTATTATATAAAATCCAACTGTTTTGCATTGCCACATCAAACATCCATGTTACAAGAGGCCAATACCATTTTTTTCCACGAACTCCAATCCGATAACATCCAAGATTTTGATCCATTTGGTCGGTGCCTCCCATATACGTGTTGTACTTAGCAATTAGGTTTGGTCTTTGAACCAAAATATTTGTTTATTTTTTGTTGAGAATATCTTTTAACGTGACTTATTTCTTTAGTACCACATGAAGTGGATATCATTGTTACCACAGCGTTGTCCATCCATCGAACATACAAAAGACCATCATTTTTATCCATGGCTGTTTCAAAGTATCCGCGTTCTTTTTTTGCAAATATTTTTTTATTTTGTAAAGGACCGTCTTTTTGAATCCTATTTTCACGGATTGTTCCTATTGCTGAATATCCACAATATTTTAAAAACGAATGGAGATTTTTGCCTGAAAATAAGTTGTCCATGTATAAAGAGTAATTCAATTGTCTCTTTTCTGTGGGGATTTCATCTATAAGAGCTAATAATGGACTCGCAGCTTTACCAAATAGTTGTTCGTAAACAGTGTTAGATTTAGGGCTTTTGCCTTGATACAGTTCAAAATTTACTAAGTACCCATCTTTTGTGTTTAGACACCATACTTTGTATCCAAATCTAATTGGTTTCCCGCGAATGAACTGCTTGCAACTATGTCGCCCAAAATATTTTACCATACTTTCATCGTAGGCAAGATGTTATTCAAGAATAAAGTTCTCAATACATTTTTTTTTAGAATTTCCATAACTGGTCGTATTTTCCATGCTTTATCATTTTGATTGATATCAATATTATTCGCAAGATGCAAAAATCGACAAATCTGCAAAAATCTATTTCGTCTCATTGATTCAGATACAGCCAAATTTTTCATATCATTTTATTGAATCCCAATAATGTCGTTTCGATGGCAAATTATTATATCCACTGACATATAATATCGCAATAAAACAACGAATTTCTTCTGCTGTTATGTTTGGATCAGGACAGTTTAAAAATAATGCATACCGTCTAGTTTCTACGACTAAATGTTCAATAATATCTGTATCAATGAATTGTTCGAATATTTCTATAGCGGACAAACTTTTATACCTGAAGTAATCAGGTTTTGGAAATGAAGCGGGTTTTTCGATGTCAAAATCTGCCCCCTTCTCCCAGCGAGGTATTTGTTTGGATTTTTTCCTAGCCTCTAACCACTTTTGATGTTTTTCGGGTGTAACAACCAATGTTTCATGACGTGGTCTATGACTCAAAATTTCTGTAGGTTGAACTATTTCATCACAAAAGTTACCTAATCTTTCGTTGTTTCCCAGCCGAATTTCAGCATTTGCCGTCAATTGTCGAGATGACAGATAATCAACTAAACTATAAAAATACTGAATTTATTTACAAAAATATGATAACATCAACTAGTATGTTATATCTTACCAACTCCCATCTTCATCACCTGAATCTTCATCAGTATCGACACTAGGATGAGGTGGTTCAATGAAAATATCCCCCTCCATCTCATCATCATTTAATAATATGTCCAATGCTTCAGAAAGCGAAAAACCATGCCTTTCAAAATGAAAAAAAAAAAAATAATAACTTTATGTATCGAAACGCCTAGCATTGCCATATGGCAACACCGGTACCTAGACAGCCATAACTATCTTCAATATTATCAAAATACTTTCAAACTATTGTAAAATTATTCTTAGTATGTCGTAAAAGTAAATATAAAAAAACAGCGGCTGAAAAAAATATGTACGTATGCTAAAATCTACTTACTCGAAATGAAGATCCATTTTTTCGTCGAGTGTAATATTCGTAAAAACAAAACTGTGTTTTCGAGACGACAATGCATTAGAAATTGATTGTATTTGTTCAATCGTAAACTAGACATGTTATAGTGTCGATAAACGTATATTGTTTCGATTGCGATAACGATAATATGCGATTTATATTGATAATATAAAAAGTTATAAATAGAGTCTATAAATGTTGCCATATGTTAACGCTGGGCGCTAATGGGTTAACAGATGGGCTTTTGAAATTGTTGTCCAGATTCTGAGGTACATCCATTTCAGAACTTTCGTGAAATTGACCACTCGTATCTTCACTCGTCATTTCACTACCATCTAACGAATTTTCCAATTGCTAAAAATAATAAATATTATTTAGTATTTACTATGAGTAATACAGTGGGTTGAATTAATCTTTGCCGAAAAAATTGTATTTTTCATAATTTTTTTAAATGTAAAAATTATTTTAAATAACTCATTAATTTGAAAACTAAATACTTTTTAGATTCTGAGCGGAGCGATGAATGTATTAATTTTACAATAATATGTGTTATTTTTTATTTTATTTTTTATTTGTGTTTGTGTACATAATATTATGTAGTTGAAATAGTGCTTCAATTTTCAACTTCAGTATGTTGTTCGATGAGAAAGTGAATCTACTTGGTAATTTGGGGGAAATGTCAAAATTAAAAATGCCCAATAGTTTTCAAAAGCCCCGGGAAATACAAAATAAAAATTAAGAAAAACGGGAATTTTACGTAAAATGAGATTTCACAAAAATCGATTTTGGTTTTTGGTGGAACTCTAAAACAATGACTGTAAAAACATGAAATTTTAACCGGTTGTTTATATTAGCATTTTCTATACATGATAAAATTTTCAGTTGTTTTTCCTATAAATGTCAATAAAATATTATTCGTTGGGTAAAAAAGCTTGACAATTTAATACAAGGCTCCTAATCCATTGTTACAATAGTAGTGGGAAAATATTAAAAATACATAAGCACAATTTTTTTTAATAAGCATTTACAGTTCGAATTTTGATAAAATTTATCAAATTTAAAATTTAATAATTATTTTGTAGTTAATAATTTATAAAATATAATTAAAATTATTGAAAATTATTTTTAACCTGTAGCTATTTAAAAAATCTCATATATGTATATATTTTTATAAAATATACTTAAAATACAAAACACAACGTAGTGAAAAATTTTTAATTTTTGTTTGTTTTTAGTTGCCAAACAATTCGAGTGATTGGAAAAATATAGCATTAGACTTTGATGAAAAATGGAATTTCCCCAACTGTCTCGGGGCTATTGACGGAAAACATGTAGTTATCCAAAGCCCTGTCAATAGTAGAACGGAATACTACAATTATAATTGGACATTTAGCAGTGTGCTCATGGCTGTAGTGAACGCTAATTATGATTTTACTTTTGTGGATATCAGCTGTCAAGGAAGAATCAGCGATGGTGGCGTATTACGAAATACATCGTTTTTTAAAAAATTGGATACGGATGAATTGATATTGCCACACGACGAAATACTGCCTAATACGAATGTGTCGCTACCGTACGTGTTTTTGACGGATGAAGCTTTTGCTCTAAGCACAAATATGATGAAACCATACTCGGGAGTACACGAAAAAGGAAACGCCAAAAGAATTTTCAACTACCTACCGGCTTTCTCGAGCACGCCGAGTAGTTGAAAATGTATTTGGAATTATGGCATCAGTTTTTCGCATATTTAGAGGACCAATACTTCTAGAGCCGGAAAAGGTACAAGAAATTACAATGACTTGTGTATTGTTACATAATTTCTTAAGAAGAAGCAAATCTTCAAGTTCATTATACACATCACCCGGTGTTTTCGATAGCGAAAATAATGATGGAATTATAGTTCCAGGCTCTTGGAGGTCTGAACAAAATGATTTAGGTTCCATGTTCCCAATACAAAGAGTGCCACGAAGATCCGGCCTCGACGCAAAAATGGTTAGAGACCAGTTCTCTGAATATTTTGTGACAAGTGGAAAAGTGGCATGGCAAGAACGAGTTTAAATAAAATTATTATTAAAATAATTAAATATAGATGTTTCCATTTTTAAAACCAAACTAATATAAATTTATATTATATTATACGAGTATTTGTTTCTTTCATGTTATTTTTATTTAATTTTGTACAGCGTATTTTTGTAAGTCGTATAATTAATAGTTATTAATATCATTACGTACAACGTATAAACATGGTTATTTTGGTAAAATGTGAATACCTACCCTGAACAAAAACATCATTGAGACAGTACCTATATCCTACAATACATAATATAATATAATATATTGATTCTTATGGACAGCTAAAGTGAATACAGCGTATTTGCGTAATATTATATAGATCAAACAATTTGGTATTATTATATAATTAATTTTATAATTAAATCTAAATTAAAACACTACAATTTATTAAAAAAAAAACAAAATAAAATAGTTACATCTGTTAAAATCGTTTTTTTGCCTCATAAACACCATGTAGGAATACCATGGCGTTATAGGCAAACCAATCTGGTTTGAAGACATCATTAGCACCACTATCAGTACCCTTACTTACTCTGACTTTGTTTAAAAGTTTTCTGTAAGTAGCCATAAGTGTGTCTTTTTTTTCATTTCTGTAATATCAGTTTTGATACTAAAATCATTTCAAAAATACAAAAATAAGTAAATAAAAACAAATATTTTATTTCAATAAAAATAAAAAATAGTTTGCTAGCTACCTACCTTAGTTTGCTTTCTATGGCTTTCCAAGCATCGTGAACTAAATTTCTGTTTCTATGATCTCTATTCTCTATGGCGTGGATTCCAAATTGCCGGATGTGCTTCGTATAGTCCTAAAAACTCTAGGACCTCATCATTGGTCCATTCCATTTTTTTTTTTATAATTTAATTCTCTTCAGTTCAATTCAATATGTATTTTGAAATGCATACAAAATTTAAATAAAATAAAAATGCACCACAGTAGTTCGCCAAACTGCACGCCTGTGGGAACGCTGTTTAAATGCGCGGCTCGTTTACTTTGGCACGGACACGGACCGACAATTTTCGGATAGACACGAGCCTAGCCGAGCTATACCGCGCCTAGACGAGCAAGAGCATTCCCACGGCGCGTGTAGTTACTTAGTACGATAATTCTAGTACGGATACGGAATTTTCTTATCAACGTACGAGGTACGAGAGAAGTGAGTTCTCGTACGCATAAAGTACGAGATTTTAGTATTATTTTAGATTTTTTCGGTTACCAACCACGGATCTCCAATTGGTTATCACTCATGTTTATAAGATAACATAAAATCGTACACACAGATTGTACATATCTATGTTAATATACACACAGATTATAAATATCTAAGTTAATATACTAGTTACCATTTTACCAACAATCAACTACCAACATTTCCCGCATAAATTTGAATATTATTTAAATTATTACATTAATTGTTACTGCATATTATAAGAGCAGTATACTATAGATTTATATTTTATTTAGTATGAATCTGTTTTTTTTTTGTATCATTTGAATTACAGACCAATATAGAATGATCTGTAATGGTATTATCTATAATAATTTTGTATTATTACAATTGTATTGGATTTTCCAATGGGTTTTTCATAGGAAGTACAAACTTAGTCCTAAAGTTACTGTTTAGTGTTTACTATAATTTATTATTTTCATAATGAGTGACTTTGAAGACGACCCAGTTAACATAGGAGGCCAGTAGGTAGAAAAAGAGAGTTCTAACACCTCAACCTGCTGGCAATTTCCTATACCCGTCTGCTCAACCCACTATACCGGTCTGCTCAACCCACTATACCCGTCTGCTCATCCCACTACACCGTCTGC